CTAATTGGTGATCTAATCTGGAAGTAGAGGAGGCGCCCATGGGGAATAAGCACTAATTTATCCACTGAGAGGATGCTGAATAAGAAGATCCTTTTAGTAAAAGGAGAGTTACAGGAAAGGAAAAGTTAAGTTTGCATCTGCCTGTGTCAACACACTGTTACCTCACCTGGAGTACTGTGTTAAGGTCTGAAGTGCTCAGCACAAGAAAGATGGGGACCTCTTACAGTAGGTCCAGAGGAGGACCATGGAGATGATCAGAGGGATGGAACTCCTTTCCTATGAGGACAGGCTGAGAGATCTGGGGTTGTTCAGCATGGAGTAGAGGAGGCTCACTGTAGCCTTCCAGTACCTTAAGAGGGCTTATAAAAAGGAGGGAGAGGGACTTTTTATTTAGACAGATAGTGACAGGACAAGGGACAATAGTTTTAAACTGAAAGAGGGGAGGTTTAGATTAGATGTTAAAAAGAAATTCTTTACTCAGAGGGTGGCAAAGCACTGGAACAGGTAACATGGTTGTAGATGTCCTGTCATTGGAAGTGTTCAAGGAGACCTGCTGGTCATGCTGTTTTTGGTGCAGCCCAGGATACAGTTGACTTTCTTGGCTACAAGGACATATTGCCAGCTAATATGGAGCTTCTTGCCAACCAACATTGCCAAGTCCTTCGCCTTGGGTCTGCTCTCAATCCATTCTCCACCCAGCCTGTATTTGTGCTTGGGATTGACATCACCCAGATGCAGGATTTTGCACTTGGCTTTGTCGAACTTTATTAAGTTCTCATGGACCAAACTCTTAAGCCTGTCCAGGTCCCTCTGGGTGATATCCCTTCCTTGCAGTGTGTCAACTGCACCACATCAGTGCACAGAAAAGCAAACAAAATTGCCCGAGGAGTTTTCAAAGCAGAGAGCAGTATTTGGAGCAGATTTGCAGGAAAAAAAGTTACAAGACTTGTGTTTGGAGCACAAAGTCAGATTAGTTTTAATTGCTCACTCACCCACTTTAAAGCTGTGTTTTACAGCTCTAGCCTGAGCTGAATCTTTGATTAGTATAAAGACTCCTCACAGTAAAAAAGAACCCAGTACTTTGCAATGCAGAGGAATCACCAGCAATGTGATGCTTTTAGATGTTTTCAAGATCCATTAAAAACACACTAAAGAATATCTTATGTCAGATGTATGTAATCTCTCTGGCTACCCCATAAATTGAAAAGACTGTGTGATTCATGTAAGGATAAAAAATCTCAGATCTTTTGAAACTGAGATTCCCTGTGTTTGCACCGTGTAAAAGATAGTGGGAATAATTTTTGAAGGAGCTGTTTATTGAAGTTCAGGAGTTAAGCTGTTTTTGTCAAATTTCTCTCCTGCCTCCTAGCTGGTGTTGTCATTCCATTTTCAAGGTCGTGGTAGAGGTAGTCAGTTATAATACTCCTCAAAGAGTTTTGTCAGGAGATAAATAGCTGTCTCTGTTCTTTTATAGGATATTAATAGGTGAGACACTTCTCCACCTGCCAGCAAGCTGTCAATCAGAACCTGTCAATTTTAGTTGGAAAGAAGAGAATGATGTAGTGGCCTTCTATATCAATCATTGATTCGATAACGCTTCATGAAAGTTAGATCTTTGTGTCAGTTCTATTAACAAAACAAACAAACAAAAAAGAAAACTTCAAAGAACTCAAGTTATTATGTCTTGAAAATAACATTTATAGTGGAGGCTTTTGATACTTGTAGCAAAACAGGTGTACATTTAGAAGAATGCGGTTATCTCTGTGGCATTAGAACAAGGCAGTTTACATGAAAAGTAAATTTTGCCTGCACTGTCATAACTATAAAGTAAATTTTTGTGGTGTTTTACCCTAGTATTTGTATATTAATCTCAATTCAGTGAACTGTGTTTAAGGAAAAAATAAATGAAAATCCAAGGAAGTAAAAAATACAAAGTTATAAAACAAAAATATCTGCCTTGCAGAAATATTCTCTAATGAAAGGTCAGTGTTATATTTATGTATATATTAAATATTTAACTTATAAGTATACATCTTTTTTTTGCTTGAAGTGGTGATATTTTTAAGCGTTTTAATTGACTCGGAAGTCCCATGTTATTTGTTGCTACAAAAATGAAAAGTTCTCACATGTATGACCTTTCAAATAGCAATAACCAACTTTGTGAAAATTGTATCTGTCATGGTTTGAGAGCCTCAAAAATTTAATTCTCTAGTCAAAGCCCCCTCCCACATCTCAACTCAATGTGAGAAGGTTTTTTCCAGACAACCACACGAGACTTAGAATGGGAGAAAGAGAATATATTACAATGACTGTAGACATAAATATTATAATACATTATACACACGATCTCAACTATCTCTACCATGACAAATCAGTATTTATAATGGACCAGATCTCTTCTCCCCGCCAAATAAAAGTCCAGGAGGGAAGAAGCAAAGATCCTTCCCAGTCTCAGAGCAGCAATTTCTCTCTAGGGCAGCACCTTATCTTCTTCTCATGCAGCAGCAGCCATGGCTGGATCTCTGCCAGCACACACGAGGGGGAAATCCAAGCCCCCTCGGCCACTCGTTTCAAGCGAGGGTCTTCTTCCGTAGGCTGTGTTCACCAGGACAAGGGTCACTTCACTACGTCATATCACGAAGCTCCGGGGTCTCCGTGACAGTCCTTATCTTTAGGGGATTCAAACCCCTTTGCAGAACTCCCATGCTCTGCCTCAAGCTGCCAGCTTGGCAGCAACGGCGAGGGGGGAGCCAAGGTCACCCCCTCCGCATTCTTTCTCCGAGCTTTTAAGCTCTTCTCTCTCTCTGGTGCTGCATGTTGCATTTTAGGACTTCCATCCAGTAGGAGTCCACCACCCCAACTTAAGAGGGGTCTCAAAAGGGTTTTGGGGGGTCTGGTTCAGTTCTTACCCCCAAAACTCTGTGTAGAGCTCAGTCCTGCTCTCTCTCTCTCTCTCTCTCTTCATTAGACATCTCTGTGTCTTCCTTACTCAGCTGCATGTTGTTGTCACTGTTCAGTCTTATCTCTCCTGGCTCTCTGCCACCGCTCTGGCCAGTGTTGTTCTGCCGCTGCTTCTGCTGCTCACTCACAGTGGAGAAAAACTCCCAGCTTTCTAGCTGCAGATACTTGGCCCAGCATTACGCTGTTCCAAGTCCCCACAGCCCCCCCAACCAGAGGCTGGGGGCCCCCAGAGGCCCCAAGGGGCTTCGAGCCCCTTTCTAGTGGTGTTAGAACATGGCTACCACTTCTACAACCAAACTACAACTCACCTTCTCTTCCGTTTGCTTGTGGTATGTTTACATTTTGCAGAAGCGCTCCTTGGATAAAACTTCCAAACTTCCAGGGTCACCACCCCCTGGGGCTTTACCATTTTATAACTGCAGGGGGAAAAACTGTTTTCCCCCCACTACAGTATCTTTTATAAAAAATATTATTTTTTTTAATCTGTACTTCACAATACTAAGCTAATACAGGATACATGCACAAATATTTGGAAGAGAAATAAAATAATTTTGTATCCATTTTCCACAAGAAAATGTTGTAGTTTTTTTTTTTTAAGAAAGAGAATTTATTTATAAAGAAAAAATCCCTGTCAAAAACACAGTTATCAAGGGAGTAATGCGGATAAAATGTTCCCATTTTGAGTTTATGTGCTGCTGTATATGCCAGTAAAAAAACATGCAACTTTTGCAAAAACATATCCAACCAAGGAGAGAGGAAAAATGCATCATAAATATACTACATTAAAATTAATTATTTTTCTTTAAGATGAAAGTATTGATATTAGATTAATGTCTTTTACTAAAATACTTTGTTTTCAGGTTCTAAAGGTTAGGATTTTTTGTTAATTTTAAAGGAACAGTTTGCATGAGCATGTCTGTATTGTTCCTCCCCTCTTTAAAGGGTGAATGAATCAACTGCTTGAGGAAATATGTAGTCTCCCTTTGATGCTGACATGAATCACAGGTATTATCCACCCCAGACTGGCAAGGGAAAATATGGTAAATAAAACTAAAAATAGACTGCAATTAGCTGTGGGCTTTAAGGTGAGATCCAGACAAGTTCTGTGGGTAGTGCTTTTGTGATTCAGCTGATATTTACAATATGCATAATGTACTGCAAATGCTGTTAGAGTATATAGCAGTAAATTTGGTTAGTACGGCACAGTTTTAAGTAAAGTTTTATAAATAATGCATAAGGAGAAGTACTTGCTTAAGCTGTGCTTTCACAGCCTGCTAGAACTAATCGTAAATATCATGTTGACAGATCACATGAACAGCAAAATTTACAGAGCCTATTTATTGCGCTCTTTCTAATGCATCTGTTCAGGAAATACACTGAAGACAGAGGAGACTGTTCATTACTTTGAGGAGAAAAATCTTTAATATCAGTATGTACTTCGAGGCTCTGATCACACGCATACACACACAGAGCTTCAAATGAAAGGAGGGTTGGTCATATACCTTAGTCCAGGATAAAGACCCAGGTCCTCATAATAGTCTAGTAGGTCAGCTTCCACATGACTTTGTGAGGAAGGTAATTGTGTTTCATGTAAATATGTAGTTCTGAGGGTATGTTTTTGAACAGCAATTGTATTCAGGCTTTTAAATATATACTTGTAAAATGAAGAGAGGCGGTTTTTCTCTAGAAACCGCTAGATTCCTGGCTTTAAACAAGTCCTCTTTCAATATATATAGTAACTAGTAATTAGGTGAATTAAGTAATTTATTTTTGCTTTCAATTCAGTATAAGAATGGCATTTTCACTGGGTGTGTGTTTGTTCTGGATTACTCTGTAATCAATTACAGAATTCCTTTTTCTCTTTTTTGTTTTGGTGGGGGTTTTTTTTGGTTTGTTGGTTGGTTAGTTGGTTTGTTTTGAAGGGAGGCCAGGGAAGAGGGAGAGTCTTTTTTTTAACTCTGCTGTCGAAAGATTTCTTTTAGTCATTTTGTTCTAAAATATACTAAGGAGTTGTGGATTTGGTTCGGTTTGTTTTCCAGGAACACTGATGCACCATTTCTTCTTGTCTTGTCTTATCTTCATGTCCACACTGCTCTGTATGCTTCAGAAAATTTCAGAGGAAAGAGCAAGCATGGCTTATATGGTGATGCAGTGGAGGAAATGGACTGGAGTGTAGGTATGTTACATGTGCTTCTAACAGCAATCAATGGAATTCATGGAAGATTTGTGTTCATGTTCACTAAATTCTGACCAGCAATTTGGATGTCTACAGTATATCTGTCATACTTGTCCTTTATACTTAGGGGAAAGAAACAGTCATTTAAAAAGCACAATAATAGGAGCTCTTGTAGTATCTACTTTATGGCCAAAATTATTATGTCCTATTCTCATCTTTAACTATAAAGGTAGTCTATAGAGCATGGACTTTAGCAGAGATGTGGTCACGTAACTGTGGACTTTTAAAGCTGAGTAGTTAAATCCAATGCCCTGAGCTCCTGGGTGCCATCTGACCTGTACAGGTTATCCTTATAAAACAATATATTAATTCAAAAAGTGACCACATGGTATCTATATAAAATTATCTTCAAATGAAGTGGCTATATTGTTCACTGTTGGCAAAACTAATTTGCTAATTATTTTAGTGAGTTCTCTGAATTATTGAAATCACTAATGTGAGGTCCATTTCTGTTTATGTAGAACAGTCAAACCAACCAATTTGCCCTTCAGAGCTTCTCTGAGGCTGAAGAGCAATTGCTCCTTATATTTTTCAAGAGGTTTCCTATATCTCTAGATATATTAAAGTGTTTCTTTGATTCCAGAGATAATCGCCTGTGTAAACAAGTAACAGTTCATATTTGTAAATAATCATATTGTAGAATAGCAGTATTATAAGGGTTAAAGATGAGTTTACAGTCCTTCTTCCTGTGTACCCCAAGTTGATTCTGTTCTCAGTGCAAGCCAGAGCAAATCGGCTTTCTTCAGGAAAATGTCGCTTCCTTATTAAGTTTCTATGAACAGATATTTAGTTTTGGTGCCTACATAAATTATACCGGTATGTGCAGTTAAACATACGTATTTCTTTGGATATTTTCCATCAAGAAGTCTAGTTTCAGAAGCAATGGACAAAAGGCAGCACAGCACATTTAGTGATTTGTAAGGTATTGACTGCATTATTTACAAAAACGGGGAAAACCTTTGTGGGAAACTGTGATGTCCTGAGGAAGGGTTTTCAGTGTAGGAGATAACAGAATAATACTCTTTTGTAAATCAGGTTTTGTAAAGAGAGAGCAGCTTTCATTCCAGTTGTATCAACCCTGAAACTTTATCACTTTTTTCAGTGGCCACCAGCATTCGGTCAGTTGAGTACTTGTATTAGATAAAAGTATGCATGTGTTATCATTTTTATTGGCATTCACATTGTAGTAAGCTACTGAGTGTTAGCTGGTTTTACTGTCTGCATTTGATTTTACTATTTCTTTTTCTGTTGTGCGATATTTATCTTATCCAAGCCTATTTGGTCATTTGCTGCTGCCATTACATTTTTCTGCCTCCTTGCTGCCCCAGAGAGTGTCTCCACTGTTTAAACAGCAAGCTGGAAAGCAGGGCAGCTGACATGATGCTGTTTCAGGCTATTTAGTGATGTAGAGGTGGTAACATTAAAACCCACTACTCTTTTCCAGAATGACCACAGGCTCTTAGAAGATGTGTCAAACTTCTCTAGGAGAGAAGCATACTATTTAAAAAGCTTGGGATAAATCGGAGATACAAATTTAGTGGTGGTAACACAGGAATTTTGAACAAACTTGGAGGAGATACATGAGTTTCCTCATGTACTGTCCTTTAGAGTTCATTACAAAAGCATCAGGGACAGCGGAGTTAGCTTTATCAGGAAACAGATCCTTGACTGTCATTTACTAGAATACAAGCATCAAATTTTATTTCTGCTGGGGGTCTGGCTACTTGTTTTTGCTTCTGTCTTGTAAGATTCCTATGATGAAATATGGCATAGTTTCTCCAGGAAGTAGAAAATGCGTTTAGTTCCTCTCCTGCATTATTAGCATGATGAAAAAAATGTTACGACTATCATTTCTGAAGGAGTCTGAAGGAATAATATAGCTTATTTTTTTTTTCAATTGAAGTACTTATTTTTATTAACCTCCACTGAAAATTCCAATCCTAATGTATCAAGCAAGTCAGACAAAGTAGATTCATTCACTGTACTGCTCATGTCAATAACCAGTATTTTCCTGGAATGCCTCTGAAGATGCTACAGTAAAAAAGTCAAACAAAATTTTCTAGAAAAGTTGAAAAAGTGAAAACTGTAATCTTTCCAGAAAAACTGGTTTTATCATTCAGTAGGCAGAAATTACTATTTATGCATAGAAGAATGTAGCTTGCAAAAGCAATAAGAACAAAATAACCCAGGTATAACAATATACTACAAAACTTTCTAAGTGAAGACAACCCAGCATATGAAATAAAAATGACTGTATGGAAAACTACATTATAATACAACATCAGAAACCTTTGACCTCAGGTAGGAAAAAACCCACAACTTTAACTCAGTTCTAAAAGAAACTTACCATATGTTTTCTGCTCACTGGGAAATGTTGTGGAAAACCCTTGTGGATGACTAAAACAAACAAACAAACAAAAAAACAAACCAAAAAAACCTCCAAAGTTGCAAGTAGAAGTACGAGTTAGGACTGTTAGGTACCAGTGATGAAAAAGATTGAAGATATATATATATATCAAGATTGAACCATCTTGAAAAAGCAACAGCCTTTCTAGGAAGATGGAGAAGTCCACTCCAGCTGAGAATTCTAAATACAAAACAATTCCATTTTCATTGTTTTGTTTTTTATTGAGAATCAATACCAAATTGGACAATAATTCAATTGTAAGACAATCTCCATTCTAGGAGGAGAAAAACACATGAATAAAATACTTACTTGAATATTTCATGTTTGTGACTTGTTAAACCACTGCTGAAGAGTATGATTACAATCCATGTCAAAAATCAAAAATACAAAGCCTCTGGATAAGCTTTGGGACCACGTATGTCTACTGCTTTTGCATACTGATATGTGCATAGCAGAATTCAATGTTGAAAGCATTCACAGTTATAATGTCACTGCATGTGACATGCCTTAGAGAATTATTCTCTGGCTAATAATATTAATTTTCTTTCAATGTAGGCTAAGCACCTTATTAATGCTATTAATTATAATTCATATGAGAGCAGATGAAATAATCTTAATGTCTAAAAATGGAAAAAGAAATGATGAATGAATCAATGAATGCAATATTATCCTCTTCTTCCTTCCTCTCTTCTTCCCGTCTTTCGTTCCTTCATTCCTGATTGAGTATAGGAAGAGAGATGGATACATTCAGAAATTGGTTTTGATGTAAATTTCATTACAGTAATTTAATCCAAAACAGATCACTGCAAAGAGTTTTGGAGCCCCCTGTAGACTTGCATGAAAGCTGTGTGAAGGCACAGTAATCCAACACCACTTTTGCAAATGGCTGTTTATTATTCTGTAGCAGAACTACATATAAGGTCTTCCTCCTTTGTACAACAATCACAACTGAAAGGCTTATATGTATAAAGGTGTCAGAAACTGTAGTCTGGAACAGACTGTAAAGTGAGAGCTTTGTCTGGAGATCTTTATTATGTGAATGTCCTGAAAGCTGAGAAAACTTAAGTGCCTCTCTGCCACGATCTTTTGACCTGTCTTAGGATCAAGTTATGCCAAGAAGATACAACAATCATCTCATGTTGGTTAATTAGAAGAAAAGGTGAGGAAATAAATCCCAAAGCATCTTACATGCAACTTGTATTTGAAATATCTTAAAAGATTTTGTAAGAGTTATATATGAAGAGTGTAGCTTGGTATATCCACTGTACAAGAGGGATATGGAGCTACTGGACAGTGTCCAGCAAAGGGTTACAAGAGAGACTAGAGCATTTTTTCCTAAGAGAAAAGGCTGAGAGATCTAGGACTGGGGCTCCGTTCAGTCTGGAGAAGACTGAGTATCTTATTAAGGTATATTAATTAAGAGAGACTTACTGCCTAAGGCCTGTATTGACAGGTATAGTAGGTTTCTGTGGCTGAGTTTTGGTAGCTGGGGGGGCTACAGGGGTGGCTTCTGTTAGAAGCTGCTAGAGGCTTCCTCTGTCCCATGGAGACAATGCCAGCCAGCTCCAGGACGGACTTCTTGCAGCTGGCTAAGGCTGAGCCAATTAGGAGTAATATTATTGCCTCTGTGATAACATATTTAAGAACAGAAGGTTGTGGCTCAGAAGGAATTCCAGCCAGGGAAGAGCTGAGTGAGAACATGGGAATAACAATGTAGGCACCAAGGTCAGTGCAGAAGGAGGGGCAGGAGGTGCTCCAGGCACCGGAGCTGAGGCCCCTGCAGCCCGTGGTGCAGATCACGGTGGAGCAGCTGTGCCCCTGCAGCCCATGGAGGACCATCGGGGTGCAGAGACCCACCTGCAGCCCATGGAGGAGCCCATGCTGGAGCTGGTGGATGCATGAAGGAGGCTGTGACCCCGTGGGAGGCCCAAGATGGAGTAGGGTCCTGCCGGGGACCTGTGGCCATGGAGAGGGAAGCCCACGCTGGAGCAGGTTTTTCCCAGGTAGGACTTGTGGCTCCTGTGGGGGACCCACGTGGGTACAGCTCATTCATGAAGCACTGCACCCCATGGAGGAGTGACCCACAGGACAGCAGTTTGGGAAGAGCTGCTGCCCGAGGGATGGACTCACATTGGAGAGGTCCATCAAGGACTGTCTCCTATGAGAGGGACCCCACGGGAGCAGGGGAAGGACTCCTCTCTCTGAGCAGCGGCAGAAACAACAACTGACTGTAACCCCCATTCCCCATCCCCCTGCCCGGCTTGGGGGGAGGAGGGAGAACATGGAAGAAAGGAGGGTGGGGGGGAAGGTGTTTTTAAGGCTGTTTCATTTCTCACTCTTTGTCTCTTATCCTGTTAGTAATAAATTTAAGTACTATCCCCACTTTGAGTCTGTTTTGCCCGTGAAAGTAATCAGTCACTGACCTCTCCCAGCTCTTATCTCTACTCATGAATCCTTAGCTGTTTTTTTTTTCTCTCTCCTCTGTCCAGTTGCAGAGGGAGAGTGAGAGAGTAGCTGTAGTGGGTACCTGGTA